GCTCTGACCGGCTTTAAAGGGTTAAGTCTAGTTCGAGTGTTCAGTAGAATCAGGGACACGTTAGTCTGTCGTGTGGACTCACCGGCTGACGCCTCTGATTTCTGTCGTCCCGAGCTGTGGAGGGTCAGGCGTAGCCAGCTGTTGCTGATCTGCAGCCTCAGTTTCTGTGGATCTGGGTTGAGTTGGACGGAGAGCAGCAACCCCTCCGGGTTCCACGTCCTGAACTGGAAGCGAACGGAGAAACCCCCCACAGCGGGCGACGCTGACGGGAGCGACAGGAAGCTGCTGCTGGAGCTCACGAAGGTGCAAGCCACCAGCTGGGGCTGCGAACACGAGAAGGTCACGTTGCCCTGGAGGACGAAAAAGCCAAGGATGCAGATTTACATGCGTCTTGCACAATATGTTAGGTGTCATGGGGAATAAATGTCACGTTGTTATGCACGAACGGGGAACAAATGGTAAGAGAACTGACACCAGAACCTTTTCCTCGTGTCAACCACAATATTCATTAAACTGAATTATTTGGCATCAACAGCAAATTATTCATCAGTACCAATTTGTAGTACTTGGAACAGAATATAAATTTATAGTAATGCTGTAAAAGAGCCGACACGTTTTGTAGTGTCGAATGAAAATTTAATCAAATGACCTCACACTGAGAGAGAGCTGAACGTCAGCGTTTCTTCGTAATGGATTTACTTTGCTTTTCACTGTTTCCCTGTTTTCTGCAACACACGTAGCGTTACAGTGTTACAGTGTTACAGTGTTACAGTGTTACAGCACAGCGATGGTCATTAGATGATCCTTTTAAAAAGCAGACTCTCTTATCTTCTCAGATATTAAATATGAGGTCAGCATATATACAAGTCATGTCTGGGAGGCTAAAGCTTCAAGCAGTTGTTTATTCTACTGGCTCCTATTGGCTGCTGAGAGATGACTCTAATATTGGTCTCATCCAACCCAGCCCCACCCACCTGCTGTTAAAAATATTATATTGGCTGGGGACAGCCAATCAGAAGTCTCCATTAAAGCGTGTCATTAAAGGAAGAGGAACTGGAAACTGGTTGGATTCTCTGTATGTCTCAGTGCTTCTTTATTACCTCCTTTATGGGAGGAAAGAATAGGAAGACTGTTCCATCCCATAATACACAGAGACACACATCAGAGCATCCATGGAGACGATCAGCAAAACAGACA